TCTCCCCAACACTTGAAAAACACACTGTGGGGCAAAAGAAATCACAATCTAATACAAATCTCCAAAGATGCGTAAATTAATTCTAGGAATATATATTTCCTCTATTTAAAAAGCAGCTTGAAGCCTTTAAAATAAGGTTTCCTGTCGTCTTTCTAAACCTTTAAAACAAGTGATTGAGAAAAAAAGCATGAAGCATAAAAGCAAATGCCCAGTAACTACAGTAACAGCAACATTAAAGCTCAAAAAGATATAGACACACCTATGAGCCAGAAAAATGCACCTAAGAAGGGACCCCCCGAAGGAGGTCTTGAGGGCAGGATTAAACACTTCTTGTTTATTATCCTTACAGGCAGATGGACAATTATTCTCTGCCACCAAGCCTCCACTGGCTGAGGCCCAGCCCTCTTTGGTCCTCTGCCAAGAGATTCTCAGGGAGGTGTGGGCGTCCAGGAGTGCACACAATCTACTTACTCAGAGCTGCAGTTGCTGCTGTGGCTCAGAGGGTCAGTAGGACGGCTAGAGTCTAGGACATGGATTCCCAGTGAGTTGATAGCTCTCATTAAAATAGTCACCATTGCCTCTACTGGAAGCTTCTCAAGAACAATCACCCGACATCGGCTCAGAAGAGCGGCATTGACCTGGAAGGAAGGGTTCTCCGTGGTTGCACCAATCAGTGTGATCGTCCCACATTCCACGTGAGGAAGGAACGTGTCCTAATCATGGGAGGAAAAGAGAAGACAGTGATTCCACTCAACGGCCATGGGCAGAATCCTATGTAAGTTGTCTATCCACTCTTTCATTTTCCTAATTTTACCTTTTCAGAACAATCATCAGAGAGAGCGGATCAATTTCACGAGTATCCCTCTTGATTAACATGTATAAAGCTCAACTTTTGGGTACAGTGTCTAAGCCTGGTCTCTTGTTGAAAAAGTATGGTAATTTACCGCCTACCTGTAAGACTAATTCCAACAACTTCAACATAAACTACTTCTTCGCTTAGAAAAGTACCTTCTCCCTACTGCTGAACTAGTACAGTGTGTACAACTGCACGCCAGCTTTTTATAGAAGACCACAGTTTTAGAATTTCTAAAATATTCTTCCCCTACAAGTATTCAAACATCCTGTTACTGTTCTTAGCACTGGTGAATATACAACCTCCAGATACTGTCGAAAGGGGATATGTCAGGTCAACGGTCCCATGTGAAACCATGAAGCAAGTGTCAGACAGAATTCTAAAACGTTGTTTTACTCAAAAAGAGTCACATTAGGAGAAAAAAGGTTTACTATTTTTGTGAAATATTTCTACCTGCAGTTAAAAAGCTGCAACAATGTAAATCCAAGAAAAAAGAATGCCTGAAAAACAACCATTTTTCCATTTAGGTAATTCAAAATGAAGCCTTATATAAAATCAAATTGTATCATTTTATGTCTAAAGGCCTTAAAATAAACATTTAAAACATTATCTTTTAATATTTTTATTGACAAGAGCTAGAAGGCACAGAAAACAGAAAAAAAATTGGAGCATATATGTACTGGGAAGAAATAAAACCATGAATTTGGGGGAGAAGGGTTAGAGCTAGAATCCATGTTTTTTATAAGCTAGATAAGTGCTTTATACCCTAATCTTAAAAAGATCTTTAGATCAAGTGCAACTGGTCACACTGTCTTTTTAGAATAAAAGCCTCTAAAAGTTGGAAAACTGGATCAAAAGATCCTTTTCTTACATGGAAAGCCAGAGATAGAGCATTCATTCCATTTATCAGAGGGAGACAGCATTCTCTTGTCATCGAAAAATACAAAAAAAAAAAAAAAAAAATGGAGAAACAAGTTTGAAGACGGGTCGCAGCCTAAGTGTCTTGAGGACAGTTAACATCTGTTGCATTTGTATACTGCTTTGTGATCTTACATTCTGGGTGTCCTAGTTTATGCACATAATATCTAATATACCTGCTGAGATTTATTGAACCGATGAATCTCATCAATAAAGAGGATGGTTTTCCTTTTGAAGAAGCTCTTTTCATTCTGGGCCTGCTTTATGACATCTCGCACGTCATTTGTCTTGGCATTCGTTGCAGACAGCGTCACAAACCTTATGCTGTGCTTCTTGCTGTTGTTGGCTATGATGTGAGCCAAGGTGGTCTAGAAAAAGATGATAAACAGAGTTTAAAAACTCACCAGGCAGACTGGGCAGCATACATGGGTACCACAAGTAGCACCGTAACTATTTAACCAAGTACACTGAACATGGCGGAATGCTGAAGCAGAGAGACTATGGAATTGTAAAAAACAACAACAAAATAATTACAATTAAGATGGGAAGATAATTAATTCTGACCACTCCCTCCCCTTAACTCCTTTTGATTCTTTTTTGGTGGACTCTTTAAGATCTTATGAATCCCAATAAAGAATAGCAGTCCTGATTTAGCAAAGCCGGGGTAACAGCTGTGACCTCTCACCAAAGAGAAATTCTTTCTCCTTTGGCCAAGGGTATAATGTTGAAGGCCCCTGGATAAGAGTTGATCCCAGAACCAAGCTCAAATGGGAAGCCAGCAGATTATCTGAGAAAAGCAAAATGAATGGCTTCTGAGGGCAGTGACAGCAGCTAGCATGTGAAGTGGCTACATGCCACTTCTGAACGTCCACTCTAGAAGAAAATTAAAAGCAAGAATTTGATCTTATTAGTACTTACCAGAAAACAAAGGAAAGACTGAAGAAAATCTCTTAGTTCAGTACCTGGCATTTAATGGGTGCTCAATAAAAATGTATTTGCCATTACTAATAGTACTGTTAGCAATTCAGTATTAAAAATGGAAATAAAGAAAAAGTGAAGGCTGCTTACTGAATGGCAAACTGTTGAGCACTTTATTTTCTGGGAGTTGTACAGTTGAGTGTCATCAGACACTGGCTGCTTGGTAACGAATCCCAGCTTACCTGTGCCTTTTGGAATCAGGCTCCCGTGTCATAAGGGCTTGTGACTACCACCAACTGCCTTACTGAGCAGACTTGGCCCAGAAATCTCTCACATTCAACCCTCCGTGACTCACCACTCAGCTCCCTGCAGACCTCTGCAGAGCCCACAAGCATCAATGTGCACTCTAATGGTGTTACACAGATGTCAGGATAACTGGCAAGGCTACTGAGCAAGCCCCTATAGAGAGGAACCACCAAATCCGGGAGGGGCGCGAAAGGCGTCAACAACTAAACAATTAGCATGTTATTTTGGAGGCTGGACGTGTACCTCAACCATGGAGTAGAGTGCAAGGATCAGGGCTTAAAAAAATGTTATCTGGGGTACATTTGATTTATGCTTGATCAGAGAGAACACGAGAGTTCAAGAAGTCACAAAAGGAACGACGCATTCCAGAACATAAAGAGGTGTAGCTGAGGTGAGCTGCAAAGAAAAACAGGATTAACATCACAAATGTGTTTGAAGCAGCCTGAACCTCAATCAAGAAGCGTTCTTCACATTCCAGTCCTGGGCTCATTCTTTATTGTCCTATGGACGGGCAGGAACAGGATTGTCAATTTATCACATTCTCTCAAGTACTCTTCCAGTGACCTGTTCTCTAAATCCATGATATCCTAGCCAGTCTCCTCTGGCTGTGGTAAGGTGGCACACAGAACAGGCCACTAAAGCATGAATGCTTTTCTTAAGCGGAAGGCAATATGAGAAAGTTATGGGAATGCCTGTTGAAACGCTGCACAGAAGGGAGATTTCTATTAGTTCCCAAAACCAGTTAGAATAAACCAACTAGTGGGAAGGAAAAGAAGTAGAACAGAAAAAAAATTTAATCACTTTTCCACAACAAATGGAGCTTACAAAATGTTTCTTCCCAGATTTTTGCAGCATGCCCTTTGCTTGGAATTAGGTCACTAAAAATCAAGGATGTGGGGATACGTAGGAACACAAAGATGGCTCGAATCACTACACACCTCCGCATAAACCAAGAAATTCAGGCATTTTTCTTTGGAAAACGCCCAAGAAGGATGTCTTGGGAAACTGGGGAAATGACATACTTGCTTCCTCATTGCAAACTCGGCTCACGCACGGGGACCGCGCCCCCGGGGCTCCCTCTCCCGGGGAGGGGTCGGAAATTCTGAGGACCGCACCTGACCCTCGGCAAGAGTGACACTCACCTTGCCGCAGCCTGGCGGGCCCCACAGGATGAGCGAGGGGATCTCGTTGGTCTCCAGCAACGAGCGGAGCAGAGTCTCCTGCCCCACGGCCCTACTCTGCCCGATGTAGTCCTGCAGCGTATCGGGACGCATCTTGTCTGCCAGCGGCTTGCCCTCCAGCATCTGTCGGATCTCCTCGGCTGCCAGCGCCCGGGGATGCGAGCGGCCCGCGCTGACTCCGAACGATGCATCGGCGGCGTCCGCGTCCCAGTGCCCGGGGTCTTCCTCGCCGTCCACGTCCGCGTCGCCATCGCCGTCCACCCCTGCCTCCTCCTCCTCCTGAGCCTCCGCCTCGTCCCAGCTGCGCGGAGATGCACTGCCCGCCGCGGCGGCGGCCGCCGGCCTCTTGCCCAAGCCCTTCCTAGCGGGGCTGCTGGACCGGGCTACCGGGAAGTCTGGGATGAGGCGCGCGCCGCTGGGCGTGGGCGGTGCGTCGTAGCTCTCACGGCTCTCGGTCTCGCCGCCGTCGTCACCCTCCTCGCCCTCGCCCTCGCTGCTCTCGGCCGCCGTCGGGGTGGCGGGCTGCTTCAGCGCCGAGCTCTCCGACAGCCGACGCCGCTTGGCGCCCGGTGGCGAGGACCCCTTGGCCCGTTCCCCCGCGCGATGCGACCCGGCCGCGGGCTCCGCGTGCCCCGCGGGGTGCAGCAGCAGGCAGCGGTCCAGATGCGAGTTGATGTGCGCGGCGGGCATCATCTGCTGGCACACGGGGCACTGCACCTGATGCAGCTGCGACAGGAAGGGGTCGTCTTCCGGCCCGCTCACCTCCATGGTGGCCGCTGCCCTCCCCGGCGCCCGCGCCGCTGCACCTGCCCCTGGGAACGCCGATGCCCGCCGCTAGGCCCCGTGCCGCGCGACCCTCGCGCTCCGGGGAGGTAGCAGGACGCGAACAGGCCGAGGGAGGGCGCCGCTCATGCCTCACGTCCCCAGCTCCCGCGTCAACCCGCCCTCGGCCCGCAGCTGGCAACGCCTCGCACGTCGTATCGGGAAGTGTAGTCCAAAGCGGGTAGACAGGCCCGCAACCGTTTGCCCCAATCGCCGCCGGGAATTTCTCGCATTGCACTTTGGGAAATGTAGTTCGCTGTCTCTAACCGGGTCTCTGGTCTGGTTCTATCCCTGGGAACCGCGGCGATTCTGAGGTGTTGCTTGGGTAGGCGTGGTGCGCGTGCGCAGGCCCGCTCAATGCCAGAAACGACCGTCTTCCGCCCTTCGAGTGATGCGAAAGCGGAAAGAAACTTGGGAACTTGGCTTTCCAGGATTTTGGCCTTCAAGGTTCGGAATCAGAGAGAGGTGTGGGCAGGGAGAATTATTTGTAATAAAACAGAACCGAAGCGAAAATACTCAAGACGTGCCTAGAAAACTGGAGAAAGGATCCCCACTGGAAAAACACAAGCAGCTACACAGATGGACGAGAAAGTTCAACTCAGGAGGCAGCTCAAGGAAATGCAAATAAAAACGTGTCTGATCTCCAGTGGCTTTAGCTTTACTTCTGGTCTTCAGGCAAGATTTATTTATCAAAATACAAATAATAAAAAATAAAAAAAAGTTTCTCTCCCTTGCCCCCTTTATTTTTACCTAAGACCGTGTCACCCAAAGAACTTGCTTAAGAGTTATCTCATAGCTGATATAATAGCTGTAAACAAGCATTCTATTATCATAAAATGTTTATAGGAATCCCTTAAAGGTGAGTTGCAGCAGACAGAAACGAGAAAGGAGTACCATAGACATTTTTAAAGTAGTCGCTGAGTGTGGTGGGGATACCTTTAATACCAATACAAAGGAGGCACAGACGGGTGAGTCTCCGCGTTTGAGGCTAGCCTGGTCTGCATATGGAGTTCCAAGCCAGCCAGGGCTATTTAATGAGGCCCTATCTCAAAATTTTATTTTTACTTTTGTTTAAAAGAAATTGTAAAGATGATAGTCTACATCTTTGTATTACTACTTATGATTTTATTATGCTTTTCTATAAGTCGGCCCTTTAAAAGATGCAAAAGGAGCTGGAGAAGTGGCTTAATTGTGAAGAGCCCCTGCTGCTCTTGCGGGGTACCCTTTTTAAGTTTGCAGTACTCACGTGGTGGCTCACAGAGGATCTGATTCCTTGTGGTCTCTAGAGACACAGCACCTGGGTGGTGCACAAGATTTGTGCAAGCGAAACACTCATACATATAAAAGTATTAAACCTTTAAAAGATATAAATACAGGTTGTAAGGCGTGAGTTTTGATTAGTCGCTGAAGCTGGAGTTCTCAACCTCTCAAATACCCGGGGCACTGAAGTATCAAACTTTCATTATTTTATTGTTGATAATCAGACATTAAATGTATTAAAGGAAATTGGACACTTTTATGAACTTTGACAAAAATTTTTATTTGATCTACTACCCAACAATATACCATTGAGAGGTCTATAGAATCTATTTACTGTTTTCCACTGAAGGTTTAATTATCTTAGTCCCTGAAATAGACTGGCAATAGCTAATGTGAAATGAAATGACAATTTCTATTACATACCAGAGATGTAATAATATTAAACTCAAAGAGGAACAAAATGGCTGGCTCCTATTGGAAGAAGTATGCTGTGGAATAATCCTCTTGTACCCCATAAAGATTTGTCATTCAAACTGATTTAATAAAATGCTGATTGGCCAGTAGGCAGGTAGGAAGTATAGGTGGGGCAACCAACCTAAGGATGATGGGAAGAAGGGCAGAGTCAGGAGACACTGGCCAGACATAGAAAGAGCAAGATGGGAAAGTTGTACTGAGAAAAGATACCGCCATATGACAGAGCATAAATAAGGAATATTGGTTAACTTTAAATGTAAAAGCTAGTTAATAATAAGCCTGAGCTATTGATCGAGCATTTATAAGTAATGGTAAGCCTCTATATGGTAATTTGGGAAGTGGCTGCTAGCTGTTTGGGTCTGAACCCAAAACATTCAGCAAGAATTTCCACATAAAGCCTGAAAAAGCTTTAAAAAGAATTATAAACACACAAAACTGGAGTCAAACTCGGCTTCTTGGTAACCATTTTTTCTTGGAGAGGCTCTGTTTGCTGGTGTCAAGCAGAGAGAGATACAGCTACTTTAAAAGATGGTTTCCTGACTCAGCATTAGCAGCAAAAACCCTGTGGATCCTATAAGAGATCCTGCCACCAAACACTTGAATGGGATTTATGAACAGTGGGTGGCACACTACTCAGTGACAGGCCTTAGAAAATTCCTAGAGTTGGGATGGTAAACGTGGTCCCAACTGGTACTGCCACCATGAAGCTAGGCACTCAGGAAGCTAAGGAGTGGATTGAAACCAGCTGCCAGAGCTGCCTTTTTTGGTCCTAGTCAAACCAGTTAGCAGTTTAAAGACTCGTGTGTGTGTGTGTGTGTGTGTGTGTGTGTGTGTGTGTGTGTGTGTGGGGGGGGGGGGCTGGAGAGGTAGCTCAGTGGTTAAGAGTACTGCCTGCTCTTCCAAAGGTCCTGAATTCCCAGCAACCACATCGTGACTTACAGCCATCTGTAATGAGATCTGGTGCCCTCTTCTGGCCTGCAGGCATGCATACAGGCAGAACACTGTATACTTAATAAATAAATAAATCTTTAAAAAAAAAAGACTCATGTGGTCAGAAATACATAGAGATATGCAGTAAAGATAGATCCAGAACAAAGAAAGAAAGAAAGAAAGAAAGAAAGAAAGAAAGAAAGAAAGAAAGAAACCTATAAATAGATTACAGTGTGTTTAAAAATATATATGTAGGCTTGGGAGAGAAAAGAAGGGTAAAATAAAGTCTTTAAGAAAGAAATAAGAGTAATAAAAATATGATAAGCCACATAAAGATGAAAAATACACAGAGAATCTGGATTATGTATATTATTGTGTTGTCTTTAGATTTTTGATTGTTAATGAGTAAATAACTGCTGAGAAACATTTGATTATGAAAGCTGTTAGATTAAACCTTCCTACATATTTTAAAAATATCTTGACTTCAAAATTTAAGTCAAAAGGTTTGTTACTTTGGGAAAGAGATTCTGCTTTTGTTTCCACTGGAAATGAGAGGCTATGGATTCATTATGGGTTAAGAAAAATCAGGTTTGATCAAGGAAGACCCCCTGGAAAATCTCTGATAGGAGCTGATTTCTCCAGTGATTCAGTGTCTCAGAGGAGCAGTTTTTTTCTGAGTTCTACATCCAGAACAGCTTCAAGATGACTGGCTGAGGTGATTCAACCATACAGAATACTCCAGTCAAGACTTCACCATAATCCTAAATTTTCTCAGAGTCCCCCAAAGATTACCAGTACCCCCAATCAGCAGGAAGTAACCTATAAAACTACACCCACGTCCCCCCCAAAATATATTATGGATATTTGTCATTGTTTAGTAGGCTTGGCTACAAACTGTTATTGGTCATAGTAAAAAAAAATCTAAACAAAAGAGTTAAATTCAAAGATATCTTTCTAAAATAAAGGGAATAGGATATAGAAATGATAGGATAAAAAGATTATTAAATCTACTTTAATTAAAATATTTTACATTGGTATGGATTTTAGTTTATAAATACAAATTTAAGGTTAATTTTGTTATACTGTATGAATATTTTACTCTTATTTAGGATATGATGCTTATGCAGCTCATTTAAAATGTAATATATAATTAAGAAATACAAATTAATAGACATCTATAATAGCAAACAGGTATATTTTCAATATACATACAGAGATCTATTTCATACAAAGATCTATTTCAGATAGGTAAGCATTCTTCAAACACTTCAGAGACCTACACAATATGGCATTTAAAATGTTTTAATAACTTAGACTTTTCTTGGCAGTGAGACATGTCTACTTCTGGCAGCACTAATTACTTCAAAGAGGATGATGGGCATTGAAGAAACTCCATATGGAGTTTGTTTCCCTTATGGCAAAAGCTAGCCATGTGGGCAAAGAAACTACCCTTGCCTCAATTGCTGATAGTTACTTCCCAAACTAAACCAGCAGGACATAAGAAAGGCAACTGTTGAACTTTGCCAATACAAAGTAACACAGTCCTTCAAGATACCCTGCTTCAGAGGAAAGTCTGTCAAATATACTAGGCATGTAGGCCAGAGTTTGATGCCCCAATGTTACAGAGGAACTTTCTGTGACTGTCCAGGTAACTTGTGGTTCTTGTCATTATGTAACAGTTCACCCTTCTGAATTTTTTGATGGAGTGGAAGACTAGATAGTTACAGTTTTCCTTATTTATGATAAAAGGTAAATTAGATGCAAAACTTTGGACTCACAAAGGTAAGATAGATGATAAAATATTTTCTTATTTTGCCAAATACAAACAGACTGGATATTGTAACTGTAATTGTTTCCTGGTAACTGTTTTTGATGTATATAATCTTAATGTGAAAGTTAAAACCTTCCTTTCTAGTTAGACAAATGGGGAAATGCTGTGGAATAATCCTCTTGTTTACTCTAAAGATTTGTCTCTCGGATTGGTTTAATAAAATGATCATTGCCCAGTAGCCAGGCAGGAAGTATAGGCAGGATGACCAAACCAAGGATGATGGGAAGGAGAAGGGTGGAGTCAGAGGAGACACTGACCAAGAGAGAGCAAGAAGTAACCTATAAAACTACACCCACGTTCCCCCAAAAAACTGTACTGAGAAAAGGTACCTCCATGTGGCAGAGCATAAGTAAATAAGGGATATAGGTTAGGTTTTAATGTAAAAACTAGTTAATGATAAGCCTGAGCTATTGCTCGAGCATTTCTAAGTAATATTAAGCCTTTGTGTGGTAATTTGGGAAGCAGCTCCCAGGTATTTGGGACAGAGCAGCTCTGAGACAGGAAACTTCTGCCAACAGAAATATCATTTCTGTGAGGAAGGAAGGTGGCCTAGTCTCTGTGAGGCCCCCTTTTTTAATTTCATTGTTATTTTTTTGTGATGGAAATTGAAGCCAGGGCCTTGTGCATACTAGCCATGTGTTCTACCCTATCTTCATGGTATTCCTTTTGCACATGCCACTTG